TCACAGAGCAGACGACAGTCCAGCAGGCGATTCTACTAGATCTCTGCATCACATCTAAAAAACGAGGCAGAGAGAGGTTATGTGCAATAATTAAGTATAAAAATAATGTATTTTTCTCTGCATCAGCCATCACATCCCAATTTAATGTATTTTTTCTTTTTAATTAAAAAACAAAGGGATAATGGTCCTTTGCAAAAATAATAAAAATAGGAAAAATATTTCTATATGCCACACTCACTTGTAAATAAGTGGGTTTCAATTAGTGATGTTAACGGGTCGAGTCGGGCCGAGCTTTGGTCTTAAAAGGTTAAGTCTGTGTTTAAATGTGTCAGCCTGATCAAATCTGTTATCTGTTATGAATATGATTATCGGCATATGGCCTAACTTATTCACACAAAATGGAAGACAATTATCGGCATGTGGCCTAACTTATTTACAAAAAAAGGAAGACTTATTTAGCCTGTTTAAAAAAAATAAGACAACAAAAATTCATCCAAGCAAAATGTACAATCAACAACACTAGTAATTTCATAAATATTCATAAATTCAATATATATCAAAATAACATAATATAGAACAAAATCATTCAAAAAGTTTGTTTAACCAATAAAATTGGATGAAATGTATTGAGGAGAGAGAGAGAGGATTATTACAAGTAGTATAAAAATATAAAATAAAAATATAAAATAAAAATAAAAATTAATATACCTTGCCAGCTTGAGAGGCTCTACGGCCGAGCTTTTGCAGTGAAGTCTGAGGCCTTTTTATTAAACGAGCTTTTATACAAGTTCAAGTCTGGTTCCAACAACCAATTTTAGGCATACAAGCTTAGGCCTTAACGAGCCGAGCTAAAGGTCCTTGGTTCGTTTATCACCCCTAGTTTCAATGTGCCAAATAAATATTTTGTGGCAAATATAAAAATATTAAAACTCATAATAAATAATAAAAATATGTAAAAACTCACCAAAACGACGTAGTTTCATTAAAATGACACAAAGTTGTGTCATTTAAAAAAAATTTATTTGTTTTACGGATTACAGTCTCTTGTCGCATAATTTGGCTTGACATTAAAATAATTGTGAAAAAGAGAGAGACAGGTAATAGCTTCTACGTTACCTGCGCAGTGCGTATATCATTAGGCAGGACTTGACGATCGGTGCCCTTCACTTAACATAAGTTATATTCTCAATATTTTAGGAAAATGAGCCGAAAAGTTTAGGGAATAAATTGAACAAAAGTTCAACAAAATCATATAACAGAATTACTATTTACTTTATTTAGAATATTAATTAAAAGTGGAATAGCACTCTAATACATTTAAGTTCACCGTTTTAGCCTAATTTCAAAAATAAAAAATGAGTTTAATAAAAACAATAAGAGTAAATAAATTTCCTTGATTTCTTTGTCCTTCTTTGTTCTTACCATTATGTCATCCAAATCCAAACACACTATACGAGTAGGTAAAGCCATCCTAATTCAAAATCAACACATATCCATGTTTAGTATGTGTGTCAATATTTTTCTTTTGTGTTACACGTCTTTAATATTATGATTTGATCTTAAAATTTCTATTCAGTTGATTAAAATGATAACGATACGAGTAGGAAAAAGAGACTAAAAATGGAGACAATGATATTTTCTTTAGTTTTATATCATTTTAGGTATGGTCAAAAGGTGCTTGGTTGTCGTTTCAAACTTCATTTCTAAACTGAGGAGACTAGTCCTTGGCGGTTGTTCTCGCTAAGTTTCCATTCATAGAGATTGAGGAATGCATAGAGTTCGATCATTTTATACGCTGCGAAATCCAAGCTAATGTGGAGCAACAAAATATTGATAAAACATGCATCTTTTCAACAATCATGTTATCCCTTCTCTACTCTTTTCTCTATTAGGAATTGTATTATTTACCTTGGCAGTTCCCGTTTACAACGATAATTACTGCCCAAACACCGTAACTTATCAATCCAGCATTACATTCCAAAGTAATCTCAAGATTCTCCTCTCAGATCTCACTTCCAACGCCTCCCAAGGCCGCGACGGCTACTACCTGACAAACATAGGCTTGGCGACCATAAACGTCGCCAGTGGCATCTTCCTCTGCCGCGGCAACGTCTCCTCTGCCACCTGTCAGGAGTGTGTCACCGCCGCAGCCACAGAGATAGAACGTCGCTGCCACAACCAGACACAGTCCATAATATGGTACGATGAGTGCACGTTGGGTTACACAAACAGGTACTTCAACCCTGTCAGCATCGTCCCAAGAGTGAACTTGTGGGATGACAAGAACATCACCACCTCGGATTTGAAAAGCTTCAACCAAACGTTGTTCAGCTTGTTGAACAGTTTGGCTAAAGAAGCTGTGTAACACCCCGTATATATCCGGTAATGTTATCATAATATCGTATTAAGCTGCGCTTAATTAAAAATGCGGAATTACTTTTTTTTTTTCAATTACGATGCCATTAACATTACCAACTTGCTTAATAATCAATTAATAAAACATCGCTTGTATGTAATTGCAATAAAACAGCTAACTGAAATATCTCAAAACATAGATAATAAAAGTGTGGCTCTAGTCAAGGAACTACAACATCGTAGACCGGACCATCTATTAGTTATACAACTCCAAATCAAAAGCACTAACATAAAGTGTCATGGACAATCCCCATGCTCACTCAAATAAGGCAACATGCCCAACATCAGTCTCAACAACAACATATCATAAATAGCGGAAAACATAAACAGCATCCAAATCCAGTCATGCTAACATAAAGCAGTAAAACATAATCAGCTAAGCTCCGGCCTCCTGCCGCCTGAGGCATCAGTACCCATACTACCTGATCCTGAAATAAGCATTCCCCAACGTGGGGTAAGATCTCTAATCTAGAAATCTCAGTAAGTCAGTGAGTCCTCAAGGATCTTCCACCCCAAGCTCACTTACATGTGCAATATAAGTTCAAAAGCAGTTTATCATTTATCATTTCTAAAACAATGCAATGCAGCAGATAATCATGTCATGTGTGTCAATACTAATCTACTGGCCAGAAACAGTGCAGGTATACGTCTATCACCTACACACCGTGCAAGTACCACTTGCATTCACCCCGGTACACCGTCTTGTATGGCGCTACATACTCAGGCTTCCCGTCAAGATGAAACAACACATGTATATTAAAAGCCATTACATGTAAAGTTCAATCAACATATCAAATATCCAAAAGCATGTACACAACATGCATAAACCATACCCCCATGGGACATGGTGGAACCACAACATGGCTAAACCGAGGACACGAAAGCTTACCTTGCAAGCTAACTCCAAAAGCCAAGAGTCCACAGCTCAAAGTCCAAACACAGCAGATTCACAATTTGTTATGGACCAACAATACATCAACAACATGCACCACAAGCATAAAATATTAAGACAACGCCTTTTCATTACGTTTTCAAGTCTTAAAGCTTCTAACAAAGCCACAAGCCCTTAATCCCATGATTCTGGCTTAGTCCATTAAATACAGAAGTTCAACTTCATCAATCTAGGGTCCACAAACCCCCAATAGCCTACTGTACACACAGCACAGCTACTGTTCTACGAAATCCCAGAATATCCGGATATTCCTCGGGACCATATCCAGATATGCGATATCCGGATATCTCACTGGACATATCCGGATATGCAATATCCGGATATCCAGAATCCCATATCCGGATATCTATTATCCAGATATCCCAAAACCCCATATCCGAATACACATATCCGGATATCATATCCGGATATCCCATATCTGGATATTCCACGGGCCGATATCCGGATATTTCATGACAGAATGCAGTTTCTGCATTTTCGTGAAGATATCCTTCCAAGGTTGGGTTTTTACCGATTTTAAACACCTAAACATGCATTTCTAGGTGTGTTCAACATTACCCCACAACAAGTTATCATCTTTTGACCTTAACATGCATCAAGCTTTCATTTTTAAGCATTAAACTCAAGATCAAAGGTTGGTATACATACCAAAGGCTTAAAACAGAGAAGGAGATGCTCTTGGAGCTCAACACAACCCCTCAAGTCTGACTCAAGAAAGATGCACGAAAATGGCTTCACAAGGGTTGGTTCTTCTCACCAAAGGTCACCACTTGGACCTCCAAAATGCCATAACTATGGCTTTCAGCAACCACACCACCCAAAACCAGCACTCTCACCCACACACATAGGATGGAAACTCAGAATACACCCTCACACTTCCTCACCATGCATGTTCTTAAGTGTAAACAAGCTCAAAGAGGGAAGAAATCAAGTAAAGGTGACAACTTGAGTTCAAAAATGGTGAAAGGAGGCAATGGAACAGTAAACCACCCTCAGCCCACCAAGTGCCTCACGTAGGAATTCTGGTATGCCTAGGGTTATGTGCTAAAATGCATATATATAGCCACTTAGCCATAAAACACACAGTATTAACTTTAATTGCTATGCTTAGCATTTTAATCCCAAACTTTGGATTATGAAACTACATAATTTTCTAAGATTTATCATATTTTTCTTATAATTTCTGAGCACTTTTCCGGTACGCGCTTTTCCAAGCCAGTACCGGTTTCCAGCACCAGTTCTCATTATCTGGACTTGAAACTCGTTTTGAAAGTCCTACATATTATTCTAGTAATTATCATGCACTTACATTAATTTTCCGGGATACTTTTTCGGCACGCATTTATACCGACTAGCAGAACCGGTATCTGCACTTTTCTTCCGAAAAGCGACTTTCAGCATTATTACTCACTAACTATAATTATTAAAGCCTCATAATAATTATTAGAGTCAATTATGGAATCATTTCCTATTTTCTCATAATTTATTAATTAAATACCTTAATTAACGGTGCGGGTTCTTACAAGCTGCGAGTTCCCAGCTTGTGAAGAAATTCGCCACCGGAGAAACAGAGTTCAAGGGGTCATCGAGGCATAACAGAGTGTATGGGCTAGCACAATGCGCTCCCAGCGTGATGAATGATCAGTGTGAGGAGTGTTTGCAAAATGCAATCGGAACTCTTACTATGTGTTGTGGGGGGAAACAGGGTGCGAGAGCTATGCTAGCATGGTGTAATATTAGATACGATCTGTACAAGTTTTATTATACAACTGAAACATCAGCAGCACCGCCCCTGGTTCCTTCTCATCCTCCTCCTTCAGGTACTTTTTTTAACCAATATTTAGGTCATCATCGATATATGCTACAATAATGTTAGCACTCTCTTTTCCTTTTTTGGTAATTAAAAGTTTAGGTGGGGAAAAATATTGGTTCCCTAAGGGAAAGATCCCAAATTTTTTGAGAATTTCTGAAATGAATTACAGATCATTCATCAACAAAGTGCTCAAATCGGTGAACAGAATTTAAACTAATACCCTTGTAGGGAATGAGCGTAGTCCTTAACCAATTATGCCTAACCTAGTTGGCGTCTTTGTCTTTTTATCACCTCCTTCACAAGGAAAGTTCGAAGACAGTGCGCATGACTAATATATATATATATATATATATATATATATATATACATACATATATATATACATACATATATATATATAGGGTCGGGATCATTTTACACCAGTGTAAGTTACATTATCAATCTTGTCCGTTGATCGCACTTATATCTAAGGGCTTAAATTTTTTAGTAATGTGAGCCATTGGATATAAGTGGATCAATGATCAAGATTGAGTGTAAGACTTCTAATTCTTACACCGGTGAAAGATTCGTTTACAATTTTTTTTTACAAATTACACTGAGTATGATACACTCTTGATTAGTGTATGTATAACACCCCGTATGCACCTGGTGTATTAACATACATATGATATTAAGCGCAACATGTTCAACTTAATTAATGCAGAAGCCAACTGAATAAATTTTCTCTTTTTTTCTTATGTATTGCAAACTTTTTCACTTCTACGGCCAAAATAAAACGGACAATATTTCCTCTGTATTTTGGACCATTGGGGATAATTCCTACCAAGATAATTTCTACCTGATTGACCATTTAATATAATCCAGGCATCCACCATAGGCTATCTCATAATCATAATAGATCTCTCAAAATAATATCCGTAGAGTTACTTATTTGATTACAGTATGACCGGTCAGACATAGTGTAGTTTGTAAAAAGCTTGTAAATCTTCCCCTATATATATAGAGAAAGATAGGATCTTTTGACACCAGTGTCAAATTTGAAATTTGACGCCTCATCTGAAAGTCATTAGATCAAAAAAATCAATGACTCTGATTTGTAAGCTTGTGACACATTGTTCTTTTTTTATCTAATGACTCTCAGATGAGGAGTCAAATTTCAAATTTGGCACTAGTGTCAAATGATCCTACCTTATATATATATATATATATATATATATATATATATATATTTATATATATGGGGGAAATTATATTTACAAATTGTTTGTTTATAAACTACATTATGTCTGACCGGTCATACACTAATTAAGAATGTATGACCGATTATATTTAGTGTAATTTATAAAAAAAAATTATAAATGAATCCTTCCCAATATACATGTGCCATCTTTCATGACCACAAAATTCTTCTAACATGACCTTAATAAATACCTATTCATATGAAATAAAGTAAGGTCAATACTAATCAATGTCAGTAGCGTAAGTAAAAAATATTGAACTGCATTTTAGTTAAATCAAATTTTTTGTGATGGAGCTTAATTAACTTTATAAGATTATAGATTGAAACTTGAGTGTCCAAAAAAGAGCTTTTCTGATTGATAATTAACAATAATATAGTTTATAAATAGATATAGAATATTAGCATTTTTTATTTTTTAATTATTAAAGCTTGAATTTTTTTCTCTACAATTATTTATGCAGGAAAGAAGAAAATTGGACCTCGAAAAATTGTCTTGATTGCTGTCCTTGTTGCCATTTCGATAATTCTGTTGTGTTTCGTCTGCTATTTTCTACTGAGAAGATCAAGGAAAAATTATAAGACTCTTCTAAGGGAAAATTGTTAGTAATTTGAAATGAAAACTCAAATCCTTTCTCAACTCTTGATTTAGAAGGTTAATTTGGTGATTTTTGGCTTGCCTAACTTGATGTTGCTGCAGTTGGGGATGAAAGTGGCACAATACAGTCGCTACAGTTCAATTTGGCCACAATTGAGGCTGCCACAAATAAGTTTTCCTATGAAAACAAAATAGGAAAACGTGGATTTGGAGAGGTTTACGAGGTGATGAAATGTAATGAAAAATGAATATGTATGTTTGTTTCTCATACTTAACTGATTGGTTATAATTTCAGGGTGTTCTTTTAGATGGACGAGAAATAGCTGTAAAAAAACTCTCGCAAAGTTCACGACAAGGTGTAGTAGAATTCAAGAATGAGGTTTTGTTAATAGCAAAACTTCAACACAGAAATCTTGTAACATTATTAGGATTTTGCTTGGAAGAACAGGAGAAAATGCTTATTTATGAATTTGTGCCCAATAAAAGTCTTGATTACTTTTTATTCGGTAAATAATTTCTATTCTCACCTTTATTTATTGTTAAATTTTAAAATTTATGTGTTGATATATAAATTTTCACTTTTCTTACTTGAGTGGATTTTGACATTTATAGACCCTCACAAGAGCAATCCATTGAGTTGATACAAAATTATTGAAGGAATTGCACGTGGAATTATTTATTTACATGAGCATTCACGATTAAAAGTAATACATCGTGATCTCAAACCTAGTAATGTGTTGTTAGATAACAACATGAATCCAAAAAACTCAGATTTTGGCATGGCAAGGATGGTTGCTATAGATCAAGATCAAGGAAATACTAATAGAGTTGTTGGAACATTGTAAGTATTTTTGAATCTTTATTCTTTTCAAATCTTGTTCTCCTTAATTTCTTCATTTCTTCAGTTGTTGGAACATCGTGCTTGAATCCATTTTAAATGTGGTTTTAGATTTATTGTTGTCAAATACGTTCTATACACAATTTCTAATGTTGATATTTTTATATAGTGGTTATATGTCTCCAGAATATATAAAGTATGGGCAATTTTCAGAAAAGTCTGATATCTTTAGCTTTGGAGTCATAGTTTTGGAGGTCATTATTGCTAAAAGGAATGCCCATCCTCTTGTATCATCAGATGATGATAGCCTCCTAGCTTATGTGAGTATTTATTTCTTTCTTTCAATAGTAGAATACTTTCATATTAGTTGTTGAGACATATAGTCCCACATTGGTTAGATGTGCAACTAATGTAGCCTTTATAAGGCCTTGGGCACTCCCACCCTCAGAGCTAGCTTTTGGGGTGGTGTATCCCAAGGTTCTTTACATGATATCAGAGCTTGAGCCCTCACCGCCTCCCACATCAAAGTGGAATTAAAATAAAAAAGGACAAAAGGTAAACCAAAAATTGGGCCTGTGCAATTCCACGCTTCTAGCCCAAAGGGCTCTTGCGTGAGGGGACGTGTTGAGATATATAGTCTCACATTGGTTAGATGTGCAACTAATGTGGCCTTTATAAGGTCTTGAGCACTCTCACCCTCAGAGCTAGCTTTTGGGACGGTGTATCCAAAGGTTCTTTACATTATTATTTTTGTTTTATATTTTTTATACTACTTGTAATAGTTCTCTCTTTCTCCTCAATCCATTTCACCCCATTTTATTGGTTAAATAGTTTTTGAATGATTTTATTTTATATTATGCTGTTTGGATATACATTGAATTTTTGTTGTCTTATTTTTTAGAAACAGACTAAACCAGACTTTTATTTTTTTATAAATAAGACAGGCCACATGTCGATAATTATATTTATAACAAGTAACAGACTTGACAGACTTAACCCTTTAAAACCAAATCTCGGCTCTGCTCGTTAACATCCGCTCTACATTATCAATCGATGTCTTGGAACTCATTTAATTTGTTCTTTTGTAGTATCGCTCACTCTCCTTTTGTGCAAACTGAGATAGAATAATCCTTAATATGTATGACCTTCTCTCTTGATCTTAAACCTTGCTTGGTAAACCTTATGATTGCATTGAGTTTTCACAATGGAATAAGAATTAATAGAATGATTTGAAATTATTATTTGAAACACAAAATATATGTACGGGTAACTTGTTATTTAACAAAAGTGGACTTAGATTAACCCATGGACTACCTTGCTTAATTGATTGATATTTCAAGAATTCGGGTTGAGTTTAAAAAAGGGGAACAAATGGGAAGTAAGCAAAATTTTTAGAAATTAAAAACAATTAGTATTTTAGGAACTTATAGATTAACGAGAAATAATTGAAAATTTTCTAACATCAAAGTAGTGTTTTACACTATTTTATTTTAAAGAATTAAAAAAACTCCCAAGAAATATTGTTAAGCGTTCTTTTGTAGCCTCAAATCAGCGTACATTTCAGAAAGCTAGAAAAAGAACACGTAGGATCTACAAATGAAGGCTTGCATTTTGCCGGGAAGATGAAAATTAAAACTGACGCAGAATTGTTCGACCCATAAACATGATAGTCTTCAATTTTGTGTTTTGAATACAAATTCAAGATTCAGAAGTGTATGGAAAAATTCAAGTTTCCCTAAGATTTTCCTTAATTTTCTCTTACGTATATAGATATGTTACCCAATTGTCCATTTTCATGCCCATTGTCATTTTCTATATTGTTGTTGATGCTAAAAATTCATGTGAGTGATGAAGTGTCACAGTCACATGAAGTGTAAGTGGAGTTCATATGAGTAAAAGATCCGTGAAATTGTTGTTAAAGATTTTGAGTTAAAAGAGGTCCCAAGTGGGAATGGAAAAATTGATATATCCTCTGTATGGATAACGAACCAGTTCAAAAAAAAAAAATGTGGTCTCAGTTCACTGTAGTAGTTTGTCATTTTATCCACTGAAGAAGGTATCATTACTTCAATGTATATATTTTTGAAGTAAAGTAACATTAAAAATTTCGGGATTGATTGAGAACGGAATTGAAGGAAGATAGAGGAAGGGAAAGGGAGCTTTATAATAAGGACTGCCAAATGTCAAGGCCTCTTATTACTGGGCTAAGTTGAAGGCTAACGATCCACAAATTAGTAAATTTGGGCAAATGTAAAGTTTAAAAGAGCAAGAAGCAAAGACATCGGAGTTGAAACTAGTTATTCTATTAGTATACCACTAACAGAATAAAAAAGAATAGGCAGAAGCTTCCGTTCTTTGTCATTATATGTCATACATATTCTATGGTCAAACAACAGCTGCGCAAGTGTTTCGCGTGTCATAGAAATTTTATTCTTTCACCATCAAGCATTCCACAAGTCTCAGTCTCACCGAAGCTTTTAATATATTAAGTGATGGAATGATTTTATATTTAATACATTCTCTCAAAGAATAGAAGTCTTTTGGGCTCGAAAGTAAACAAAAAGACATTTTCCCTTCATTATTAAAAAGCTCCTTTTTTGTTTTTTTTCCTTCCAGTTTAAAATAACAAACAAGGAAAAATGTTTTGGTTTTTTTCAAAATTTTCCACTTTGTAGACTACCATGGGAGTTTTTTCTAGACTTCCAGTTCTACATGTCATTCATCAACCGAGAATACACAAGAGAATGAGTCAAAAATAGAACAAGCAATGTGGAGAGTTTATCAAGTTAAACACATCCTAGTTCAAGGTTGGAACAAGGCATCATAATCATATTGAGGATCACCGAGATGATTCTCTTCAACATTAACCATGTAGCCCTGTTTCTTCTCCTCTCTCTGTTTGGATCGCTTACCCCATCAAGCGCATCAGCTCCCAATTTCAGCGATATTTACTGCCCGAACAACACCACCTACGAATCCAACATCACATTACGCACCAATCTCAATGTCCTCCTCTCTTCTCTCATCTCCAACTCTACCCAAGGCGCTTTCTCCTACTCCACCACCATGGGATTCGGCACCACCAGCGCCCGTCAACGGTCTCTTCCTCTGCCGCGGCGACGTCTCCTCCGCCACATGTCAGGAGTGTGTCACCACCGGAGCCACAGAGATAACACGGCGCTGCCCCAACCAGATAGAGTCCATAATATGGTACGATGAGTGCATGGTGAGTTACACAAACCGCTACTTCAACCCTTTCAGCATCGTCCCAAGAAAGAACTTGTGGGATCAAAAGAACATCTCAACCTCGAATTTGGAAAGCTTCAATGCATTGTTGCTCAGTTTGTTGAGCAGTTTGGCTGCAGAAGCTGCGAATTCTCAGTCAACGATGAAATTCGCCACCGGAGAAAGGAACTTCACCGACTCGTCGCAGCAGTTAACGGTGTATGGCCTGGCTCAGTGCCCGACGGGCATGACGAATGCCCAGTGTGAGGGGTGTTTGGTAAATGCCTCGAGAACCCTTCTCACATGTTGTGAAGGAAAACAAGGTGCGAGAGCTCTGCTTTTACCAGTTTTACAATACAAGTGGTGCATCAGCATCGCCACCGGTTCCTCCTTCTCCTCCTTTAGGTCATTTAACTCAACCAATGATACCATAATTAAATGATATAAATATAACAAGACTTTCTCTTTAAAGAAGTGAATCCACCCTATAACTACTAAAGATAATTGAAATTAAAAAAAGAAATTAATATTTATGCAGGAAAGAAGAAATCTGGGAAACGAAGAACTGTCACGATTATTGTCATTGTTGTCGTTTTGATCATTCTCTTTTCCTTGGGTGGCTATTTCCTTTTGAGAAGATCAAGGAAGAATTATAAGACTCTTCTAAGAGAAAATTGTAAGTAATTAAAGAAAAAGAAAAAGTCAAATCTACTCTCATTTCTTAAAAGCTTTAAGGGGAGAGACATTTAGCTTGCTTACGTCTCCGATGCCTATATATTTATTCTTGCAGTTGGTGTTGAAAGTGCCACGTTAGAGTCATTACAATTTAATTTGGCAACAATTCAAGCTGCCACAAAGAAATTTTCAAACGAGAACAAAATAGGCAAGGGTGGATTTGGAGAGGTTTACAAGGTAAACAAAACGTAATGAAAATTGTATGTTTGCTTTTTTTTTTTCTCATTCAACTGAATGGTTAGAATTTCAGGGTATTCTTCTGGATGGACGAGAAATAGCTGTAAAGAAACTTTCTCAAAGTTCAGGACAAGGTGCAGTGGAGTTCAAAAATGAGATTTTACTAATTGCCAAACTTCAACACAGAAATCTGGTAACGTTAATAGGATTTTGCTTGGAAGACAAGGAGAAAATGCTCATTTATGAATATGTGCCCAATAAAAGTCTCGATTACTTTCTATTTGGTAATAAAGTTCTTGTCTGTCTTTGTTCATCATTTAAGTTTAAAATTCATGCATTGGTAGAAAAATATTAAATTATATTTCATCTTTGATAACGTATTTGTAGATTCCCACAAGGGCAGATTATTATATTGGTCTGAGAGTTACAAAATTATTGAAGGAATTGCACGAGGAATACTTTATCTACATGACCATTCAAGGTTGAAAGTTATACATCGTGACCTCAAACCTAGCAATGTACTGTTAGATGATAATATGAATCCAAAAATATCAGACTTTGGCATGGCAAGATTGATTGCTTTAGATCAAGATCGAGGAAGTACAAATAGAATTGTTGGGACATAGTGAGTATTTTTTAATCCTATATTGTCTTTTGATCATCTTCCTTTCTCTAGTTACTTAATTTGTTAAGAGATATAGCTTCATATTTGCATTTCATCCTTAATTCTTTTCATTTCATATTAAATTTAAATTTAGAATTACCTAGGTGAAGACTTTGTATGAAAACTCATGGTAAAGATAAAACTAATCCTAACTCTTAACAATTTATACATTTAGTTTCATATTATTTTTTAAACATGTCTTGTCTAAATTCGATTGAAAAGAAGTATTTATGTAAACTAATGCTTGATCTACATTTGATGACTACCTACTTGGTTTACTTTTTATTGATGTCATATAATTTCATCCTTGTATCTTTCTCAATTTGATACATGTCTATATCTAATATTCATATTATTATTATTATTTTGTTATAGTGGTTATATGTCTCCGGAATATGCTATGCATGGACAGTTTTCAGAAAAAATCAGATGTCTTTAGTTATGGGTGTTCATCAACCGATCCAAACCGATTCAAACCGCGAAAACCGAACCGAAAAACCGATAACCGAATAAACCGAAAACCGAAAAATCGAAAACAAAAAAAAAACCGCAAATTTTAATTGGATTGGATCGGTTTCCGGATGGGTTGATGAAAATCGATCCAATCCAAACCGATCCAATATATTAATTATCCTCTATCTACTTGTCCTTTCTCCAATCACAACCCAAAAATTTCTAAACTCAAGACCCATTAACTCATCAACTAAACCTAAGAAAAAATTTAGTCACGTCTCATCAACTATAGTATTGTTTAATGATATTTTTGTATTTCAAAAAAAAAAAATTTACAAAGCCAATATATACAAAAGATGTTATTTGCACAGTAATTATGAAACTAATTTTAGGATATTCAAAACATCGAAAACCGATCCAATCTAAACCGAAAAAAATTGGATTGGATTGGATCGGATCGGATCGGATTTGAAAAAAAATCTAAACCGAATGGATGTTGACATGATTAAACCGAAGGGATTGGATCGGATGAGTTTTGCTTCCAAAACCGATCCAATCCAGACCGCGAACACCCCTATCTTCAGTTTTGGAGATGATAAGTTCAAAAAGGAATGCTCGTTCTCTTTTATCACATAATGTTGATGATCTCTTGAGTGAAGTGAGTATTCTTTTTAAATATTATGTTTCCTTTTGTTGATACAAAAGAAGCATAACGAGGGCGATAATTCAAATATCTAATTCAACAAATTGTTGCAGGCTTGGAGACAATGGAGGGATCAAACACCCTTAAAAATATTAGACCAAGATATAAAAGAATCTTGCAATCATGATGAAGTGATTAAGTGCATCCAAATTGGTTTATTA